TTTACATTTTACTATTAGAACTGAATTTTATATTGTTTAACTGATTAAAATGAGTGATTTTTAATGTTTCCGTTTCTGTTGCACTCCCTCTAAAAAGCTTGCAGACGTTGCTCGGGACTAAACTGATCTAACAGCAGAGTGAGTGATGCTGATGATGTGTTACAGGTAGCTCCTCCAAATCTAAACTCCAATTCCCATCATAATCAGAGGCTGACACTTTGTACCAGTTGGTTATGAAATGATACCCAACTTATACCCATCCACTCACCGTGAACTTGTATACCCGTGATCATGTTGTAATGACGCTTACATCATTTTTTACTTTAGATCCATAAAGCTTCAGGATCAATATATCTCAACTGGATGAAGGTGGAATGCAGCATTTGGGTTCTGTAGGGGAGTAAAATGTTGTTGTGCCTTTCTGGTGAGTGATGGTAGGAGGGAGCACGAGATGTACTGATGGACCTGGGCTTCATCAGAAGTATTGAGTGCTCTGGTGCTTCTTGGCGAAGAAGAAACTGAGTAAAAAGGTAAACATGTTACTGATCTTTCCATGTTACCGTGTTCTCCCCATGCATGGGTGAAGATGGCATGTTCTCTTAATGACTGTGTAGGGTTACCATGCTCTCTTAACTCATTCACTGTCAGCCGTTTCCTGATTGGTAAAGCCCTTCGCTGCCAGTGTTTCTCACCATTTTTACTGTTTTTTGTAAGAGTCACAGAATGTTGCGCGCTAGCATGATGTCGATGCCAAAACAACCAAAACAAAGCGGAGACTCACCTCTTACATCAGGAAGAATCCGCGAGTTTCGAGCTTTATCCGTTCTTTCATAATCCGTTGTTGAATTGTGATCGGCAGACGCTTTTCCGGTTCGCACCTCACCTTTTTTTTTTACAGCAACGGCCCAAAACGATCTCCTAACACATGGATGTTCTGCTTCCTGATCATGTGACGTGTGACGTATGCGGATGAAGATCGGCTTTAGAGCTGAGATGTTTGTTATCACGGTGTGGGGGCTCGTCCGACGCCCACACAGTAAAACATTCAACTTTAGTTGTCAATGGCAGTGAATGAGTTAATTAATGTTTAGAGTTACCATGTTCTCCACATGTGCATGTGGCTTTCTTCACCCACAGAACTGAGACATGCATACTAGGCTACTTGGTGACTCCAGATTGTCCCTTGGTGAGTGTGTGAATGGTCGCCTGTCTTAAGTTGTCTCTGATGGTCTGGATGCAACGTTCTGTTACGGTCTTTCTGCTTGTCTCTTCTCTGTAAAACGTTACAAACGTTAAAACTTTGGATTGATGATGGAATTAAACTTGGTTATTGCTCTTCATCTTGTTGATGAACGTAAACAAAAACAACAGGTTATTTTAACTTCCAACTTTAACCCAGATGATAAAATGATTTAAAGCTAAAGAGGAGGAACCGGCAGACATCTTGGACAAAAACCCGCCATCTGTGCCAGAAGCTGGGACATTTGTTGGTACATTTCTTTTGCTGCACACAATCATTTGTACTCATCCCTCACTCCCATGCCCCCCACCCACTCTCTCTCTCTCACACACACACACAGACACACACACTCCAGATAATAGCTGAAAGTTGAACTTGACACGGATCATCGTCACTCTTCTGCCGTCTGTCCCTCAATCAATACTTCCCGTCCTCTTCCCCCTTCTTATTATCAGCACTAATCTATACGGCTTTGTCTCGGTTTCTTTAGAGTTGCCTCTTTCACTCCCTGTCTTTTCTCCATATTACATTAGGGACAGTACACATTGAAATTGGACGGGACAAAATCAGGCCACATGAGCCGTAGGGCTGCCGGAGATGGAGAACTAGGAGAGTTTGAAGAAAAGCAGACGAGCATTGATTGGAAGTTGATTGTGAAGATTTCACTTTTGCAGTCTTTTTTTTTTCTTCTGAACAAAAGCTACAAAGAAAAGCTAGATGGGCGGGGGGGGGGCAAGTCTGAGAGTCCTCACAGGCCCTGCGTCCACACAAAAACAAAATGGCAGTGTTAATAAAAAAGCAATGAGTAAAGCTAGTGTTGTGCACGAGGCCGCGGGCGCCGTGAGCGTGGAGACGGCGTTGGCATTCTTCAGCGAGCTGCTGTCTTTTGTGGGGCCATGTGTCATGCTCACAAACTCCCCATTGCCGAATGTCTTCCCACAATAACAGAGTGGAGAGTGTTAGGCTTTTCATTTAGAGGGTCCATTAACCAGAGGGTCTGAAAAGACTGGAAAAGAACCCAGGTTTGTTCCGGCCGGACTGCCGTGTGCCCCGATGCTGTAGATGCAGCCGTCGCCGGCCTCACAGCCTCCAGGACCTGTCTGTCTGAGCTGCAGCACGGGAGCTAAGTACCAGCTCTGTTCTCGACTTCATAAAGAGCAAACGTGTTTATGTATTTTGTATTCGTATTCATTTATTTCCGTCATAAATACATATAAAACACATGAAAAGGAAAATAATTATCTAGTAAAGAACATAATAATTATCGCAGGTACAAATTCCTCTTGTAAATTAAACAGTTTCTTTAGATATAATTTATGGACGAAAAGGTATAGGCTGAAGTTAAACTTATTTAAGCCTACCCATTAATTGATTACAAAAAAATCAACATTGTCATAAATATCAAAAGTAAATAAACATATAAACAATACAGTTTTTACATACATCATCCTAATTCCAACAAAACCAATCAAGAGATATAAACATGAATAAAACAAAAACAATTGAAATCAATCAAGAGGTATAAAACGTGTGACAAAACTAATTTTGGTGCACTTGGTAATTACGTAAGGCGTTATTTTTAAAACTCTTTTTGAATATTTTCAACGAGCATGAATTTTTTTATCCATCCTCGAGGCTATTCCATAAACTCACTCCTCTTACTGAGATACATCTTTGTTTTTTATTGGTTCTAATATTCTTTTTTTTTTTTTTTTTGAAAACCCCAGTTCCTCTTAGACTATATCCTCCTTACCTTAGTTCAAACATCCTTTGGAGATATGTGGAGGCAACAGAAACTTAACAAACCGTTATGTCAGCTCCATCGTCTCTAAGGTCTGTTGAAATGTCTTCCAGCCTGACGTATTTGAGTTCTCCTACCTGCTGGTTAGTTTAAGATTTCCTCTGAAATGTTGAGCTGAGCCTGACTTCTTGGGAGGTGAAGTGGATTTTACGGCCTTCGACATTCATGAGCATGTAGGCTTTTCCATCCCTCTCACTTTCCTCCCAACTAAGTCAAACTAATCCCTGAAATAAGCGGCACCTTTCCATATTATCATGTGACCTAATGGTGGCATGTGATTTGGTAAGCTTTGTCTGATGGTGGCGTTTGGATCGTGTGAATAAAAGCTATAAAGGAAGAAAACTAATTAGATCGTCTGAAATAATAATTGAATCGTTTTCCTTTTGTTTTTCAGGCTCACTGGCTAATAAACACTTCAAATTACTGTGCAGCTGTAGCACCAAAAGTCAAATTCACTTCTCATTTACTTCATGTAGACAGTCTGTGTGTGATATAATGCACACTGACTAATTATCCTCATTTTGTTATATCACAACAGCTGCTGAGTGTCATTACTGTCATTTTGGCACGCTGCATCGGAGGATTGTTGGCAGGAGGCATTGTACATGCCAGAACTTTTTTAATCTCCTTGGGAACATTTGGAGGGATTCTCTAGTGTTTGATCCTCCTCTTGTTTTTGGCCTCAGCTTTATTTTGATAGTACCACCTTCTTTATTGATCTCTTGTGTACCAAGGATCTTAACAAAACAATGATGATTGGACTTATGAGTGCAGATTTCCAAGAAAGAAAAACCCATAAACTGGAGGATATTGGTCAGACAAATGAGAGAATCCTAATGAGCCACTGGCAGCAGCTTTAACATTTCTATTGATCTTGGTTCTAAGCTGCCAGCGATGGTGTTTGATTTGTTGCTGGGTTTTTTTCTTACAAAAGTCACTTGATGAAGGGCGACGGTGGCACAGGAGTTAAGTGCTCGCCCCATAATCGGAAGGTTGTAGGTTCGAGTCCCGCTCAGTCTGTTGCTGTCGTTGTGTCCTTGGGCAAGACACTTAACCCACCTTGCCTGCTGGTGGTGGTCGGAGGGACCGGTGGCACCAGTGCTCGGCAGCCTCGCCTCTGTCAGTGCGCCCCAGGGCAGCTGTGGCTACATCGTAGCTCATCACCACCAGTGTGTGAATGTGTGTGTGAATGGGTGAATGACTGGTTGTGTTGTAAAGCGCCTTGGGGGGTTCCAGGACTCTAGATGGTGCTATATCAAATACAGGCCATTTACCATTTTACTACATGCACAAACATCCATGTGTGACTGATGAGCTTTGTCCAGGGAGGACCTTCACCAAAACAAACAGAAAGTGGAAGCTTGAGTTTACGCTCTGTGACGCTGATCTGATGCTGCGTGTGATCCCTCTGAGCAAGTTCCAGTGTTATTCCAACACGTCGTTTCTGTTGACGGGTGTTTAGTGTCAGCATCCTGACGGCTTCACAGAGGAGCTGAGGCCAACTCAAGTGGGAACCATTAACCACAGCACTGAGAAGGGATGCTGCGTGTGTGTGTGTGTGTGTGTGTGTGTGTGTGTGTGTGTGTGTGTGTGTGTGTGTGTGTGTGTGTGTGTGTGTGTGTGTGTGTGTGTGTGTGTGTGTGTGTGTGTGTGTGTGTGTGTGTGTGTGTGTGTGTGTGTGTGTGTGTGTGTGTGTGTGTGTGTGTGAGCAAGCACAGAGAGAGGTGCAGACAACTGACTCAGAGCTCATTTCTACTCGGTTAAATGTTGATCTGAGGAAAACGGCGGGTCTAAGCAGCTCGTTTACAAGGAAAATTAAAATGCTTTGATTTACAAACAAACAAAAACAGATTTAAGAAATAAAATCTGACATGCTTTAATGTTGACCAGCAGCTGAGGTTCATTGATAAAAGACATATTTAGCTGCGTTTCACTCTAACGGTTCTGTTTCCTGTTCAGGTCTGGATCCGTCTCAGCGGCAGGGAGTGGAGGACCTCATCTCTGCAGCACCGAGTGGCTTTGACCACGCTGCTCTGTTCACGCTGTTACAGAAACACACACTGCAGCACCGCATGAACGACTGCTTCTCCTGCTTGGTACGTGCACATAAACACACCTTCCTGATGACTGAGCTCATCGAGAGACCACACCAACAACATTTCTGTCTCACCGTTGTAAACGGCCTGTATAGCAACCTCTTAGGGTTCTACAACCCCCCAAGGCGCTTCACAGCAAAATCAGTCATACACACACACACACACACACACACACACACACATTCACACACTGGTGGTGATGAGATACGATGTAGCCACAGCAGCCCTGGGGCGCACTGACAGACGCGAGGCTGCCGTGCACAGGCGCCACCGGTCCCTCCGACCACCACCAGCAGGCAAGGTGGGTTAAGTGTCTTGCCCAAGGACACAACAGCAGAATTCTCTGGTCGGAGCCGGGATCAAACCTGTAACCTTCCGATAACTGGACAACCCGCTCAACCTCCTGAGATACTGCTGCCCATTAGCTAAATTACTGATAAGTCCTAATCTTAATGTCCTTTAAGCATGAAATAAATAACTTACGGTAGAAGGTTTGATGGAGAACTCAGCAACCATCAGAAGTAGGAATTAGCCAGGGCAGAGAACAGCAGGAGTTAGTCACTCACAATTTCCTGATATTTGGACATCTCTCCTCTGATTGGCTAACAACAACTTATCTGCAACATTAATGTTTTATCTCCACAAATACCACAAACCTGGAGGAGTTCTGCTGTGTGGTGGAGTTGCTAATGGTAACAGTTAGCTTCTGCTAGCCAAGACATGCTGTGCTTTCTTGTGGATTCTAAACCAACAACAGCCTTCCCCGTTATGATTCTTGACGGGTGTGTGGCTTTTCTAATCCGTTTTATTTTCCATTGGCAGCTAAAGCAGGAAGTCAGGGTAGAAGACCATTCTGATTTTTAGCCACACCCTAAACTCAGAGTGACCGATGGTGTTTTAAAAATAACATGTTAAACTTGTCCTTTTAATCTGCTGATAAAATGTGTGTGTGTGTGTGTGTGTGTGTGTGTGTGCGTGCGTGTGCGCGTGCGCGTGTGTGTGCGTGCGCGCGTTTGTGTGTGTGTGTGTGTGTGTGTGTATGTGTATGTGTGTGTGTGTGTGTGTGTGTTAAGCCCCGAGGGCTCTCTCACACTGATTGAGAGGATAAACGTTTTAATCAATACTTTCCAAATAGGGACACGACCCCTATGGGCAGCTGCTGTGCTGCCTCGGTGTGGGGAGAGGGTAGGAGGGGGAGGTCGCCTAATTATGTGTTTGGGCGGGGGAGTGGATCAAATGTTTTTGTGTTGTGTGCAACTAAGCAAACATCAGGAATCCACAGACGGCATGAAGCAGAGACATCTACAGGAGATAATGTTTGAACCTGTTAGGTGTCCCAGTTTCAACCCTGTTAGCTATAACTGTGTGTGGAGCAGATATGCAAATCTTCAGATGGTCCTTAGACTTTTTAGGTTTTACATGCTGGAAAACCGGAAATGTTATCAGTACTGTAAGTCGCTGCTTCAAATAAAAGTCCATGATGCATAATTTAGTCAATTACGTTGTTGGTCAGTAACGAGGAAATGGAAATGAAATCCTAAAACAAACACCTGCACAGATCTTCAGTATGCAGATACTGCACACGGTAATCCAGGACAGCACAAACTATTCAAAAGCTCCCTTCAGAGGATGGCTCTGCATGAAGGTGTTGCCCGTCTGCTGGTATGCAGTATGGTGCAAATTCAGCAGAGAGACGGGTTTGACAGATGGATGCTTTAGACAGTACTACCTTACTTTTAAACAAATGCGGTGACCACAGTTTCACAAACATACGTTTTGATTGTTCAACTGATGTAAGGAGAGTCATAAGCCTCTAGCGAGAAAGAAAAGCTATAACCATACTGCATTTTAAGTCCATTGAGGAGTTTTTAATTGGCTTTTCCATCTTAATGTGGGTAAATTAACATGATATGATGTTGGAAACCTTCAGGTTCATTGTATCTCCATAATGATTAAAGCATCCAGCTGATGCCGCGGTGCTAACATTTTAGCCTCCTGAAGGTGTGCATTTGATAAAGATGTATTAACATGCATTAACACTTTTTGGTTGAATGAGTCTGAATTAGAGATCGACAGATGTGGGTGTTTTTATTTCCTGATAAAGAGGCTGATATACAGAGGAAGCAGGCAAAATTAGAATATGGTGCAAAAGTTCATTTATTTCAGTAATTCAACCTAACAGGTGACACAAATATATGAAGAAAACTCAGCGAGCACTTTCTTGGCATCAAAATGTGTCTAATTCAGTCATCAGATGTGAACTTTGTGGCAAATGGGATCAGAAAACAATTGTTAGACTCCCACAGATAATTTTGGCAGTAGGCGACACGTGGGCTGGTACTAGATGGGTGTGACTTAGGCTCCCTATTACTGACATTAATGGATTTTTGCACCACATTGTAACTTTTTGTTTACCCTTCATTAGGGCTGGGCGATATGGCAAAAATAGAATATCACGATTTTTCCAATATTTTATCACGATTTCGATTTTATCACGATTTTTTTATCCATGAATAGCATAACTTCAATTGCGTATTAAAGAAGAGAAACATTGAATAAATAGACATTTATTCATATTAGGGATAATCAGCACAGTGCTAACACACTTATATTTTAAACTCACACCAGAGATGATAAAAGCCCTGAGAGAAACAATTACAAAAATCAGTTTTTCTCGTTTTTCAAGTAACTTAAAGTGCAAACATGTCAATTGCAAACGTATTGTGCAAACATTCACTTGTTCAAAATACTATGTAGCTCCCAGTTTCTCATGTAGTGGATAGTTAAGCTCAAATACGGCTCTGATGTGCAGCTGGACCAGAGATCGCTTGTGGTAGCAAAAAACTGCGCATTCTGAATATTGTCTGCAACAAGTCTCTAAATAAAGTAAAATTTTCCAGTGCAGATTGGAGACAACCCATAGAAGCACTGATTTGATCTCATTTCAGAGAAAAATAGAACAGGTTAGATGCACCTAATAAATAAAAGTACTAACAAACTCAGGAATCTTTCTTTGCTCCCCTGTTCTGGTGCTGAGAATATCACTAATGCAGATCAAAGGAGATACACAGATGAATGCACCTCTTATTATTTGGAGACTACATTTACTGCAGCTGGCAGAGGCAGAGATTGTTTCTATTGATACACGGAGTTTACAGAATCATTTTAAATGTTAATAGGGGAAGACTGCAGGAGGGAGCGGTAAAATACAGAGGTCCCTAACAAAAGCAAGAAACTTTACGAGTCTGATGAAACCCGCTGGTTTTCCATCAGGCAGTCACGGGGCAGCTCCATCGACCCAGTGACCGAGCTCAGTCGGTACCGACACCGGCTCAGCAGAGGGTGAACGAGCCGAGGCGACGTCGTGCTCTGCTTAAGAAGCGGTGTTATTTTCCTGCTTCAGAAGAAGCGCCCAAGGTGCTTTTACGCTTTCTCCGAGACATGTCACATCGCTAAGTTGTTAGCGCCGCGCGCTAAGGAAACCCTGCGTTCCTCTTCGGAACGAAAACCTCGTTGTCGCTCAGCCGCGGCGAAGCCATGTTTGTTCACACACAAATGAAAACAAGCGGGGCACTAATATATTACTATGACTCACTCTGACTGGTTAAGGGTCAAACAAAGGCGTGTCATTCGCCTGGGGTAAGTTCCCTTTTCATTCAGAGGCAGAAATTCAACAGCAGAGCTGTGAATCGTGATAAAACGGTCTCTCAAAAATGACAGACCGTCAGATGTGTAGATCGTAAAACGGTCTAAAATCGTCATATCGCCCAGCCCTACCCTTTATGCTGCGGATTTCATGGCCTACATCCAGATCCTCTGGAGGTTTCTTCCTGTTAAAAGGGACTTTTCCTCTACACTGTCGCTAAATGCTTGCTTAGTATGAGGATTGCTGTAAAGACTCTGATACTAGTCAGTGAAAAAGAAAGTATAATTTCTATAGCGCCTCCCAAGATAAAAATCACAAGGCGCTTCACAAAAACAAAAAAATGTAAAATACTATAAATTATTTAGAAAATGATTAAAAATATATTTCAAATGAGCAAAAATAGACAATTGGGATTTAAAAGAAAAAAATATTAAGAAAAAGAGAGGGTGAATAGGAAAGAGGGAAATCAGTGGATCCTGAGGAAGGTGGAATAGGTGGGGAGAGCAGAATAAAGAGAGAGTGGTGAAGAAGGTCATACAAAAGCCAGCTTGAACAAGTGAGTCTTCAGCTGCTTTTTGAAGGAGACCACTGAGTCCACTGATCTCAGGCTCAGGGGGAGAGAGTTCCAGAGTCTGGGGGCCACAGCAGCAAATGATCTGTCACCTTTGGTCTTTAGCCTGGTGCTGCACAACCAGTAGGCTTTGATCACTGGACCTCAGGGACCTGCTGGGGGTGTAGGGACTAAGAAGATCACCAATGTAAGATGGTGCTTGTCCATGTAAGGCCCTATAGACCAGAACCAGGATCTTGAAATGAACCCTGAAGTTGACTGGCAGCCAGTGAAGCTGGAGGAGAAGCGGGGTGATGTGGGTGTGTTTGGAGGACTTGGTCAGAAGCCGAACACAGGCATTCTGAACCACCTGTAGACGGTTCAGGGAGGTTCTGCTCAGACACGTGAAAAGAGAGTTACAGTAGTCTAAGCGTGAGGAGATGAAGGTGTGGAGAACTGTCTCAAGTTCAGAGCGGGACAGAATGGGACTCAGCTTAGCAATGTTCCTGAGATGGAAGAAGGAAGAGCGAACAAGAGAACTGACATGAGAATCCAGGGTGAGAGCTGGGTCAAAGGTCACGCCAAGATTCCTGACGGAAGGTTTGGTGTGAGAAGCAAGCTGACCAAGAGAGTCTCTGACTTTGGGAACCAGCTTGTCTGGGGCACAGATGAGGATCTCAGTCTTATCTTCATTCAGCTGTAGAAAGCTCCCACCATCCAGGTTTTGATAGATTCTAAGCAGGTGTGTAACAGCTGCAGCTTAGACATCTCACAGGGCTTAAAGGAGATGTACAGTTGGATGTC